TTTTATAGGTTCAAAGAGACTTAAAATCTGTTTTTTATTCATTCCACTGGTCGTCTGTTTTGATCAAATAGAAATAGCCTCTAATTCTGGCTTCCTTCCAATAATGGCCTGGACCAAGATGCACCTGAGTGAAATAAAGGCCCCGGCCTATATTAAAGGATTTACGGTAATTCCCTAAAGAAAAGCAGAGTTTAAAACAATAAACCCAGTTTAATGATTAGGATTCCACATCAGGACCTAATTTATAAAATCCTTCCTCTGAACAGTTCTGATGTGATTGAATTTTAGCACCTGATATCGTGTAAACACACACCTCTATGTTGTAGCGGGAAGTAGACGCTTGTTGCTGAGAGGCGACCTCTGACCTCAGGGTTCGGAGGAGCGGTAATGAAGTGGAAATCTGCTTTTCAGCTTCACTGGAGTCTAATAAAGCCGGACCGTGTGGGTGTGTTTCCCCAGATTTCCCCCGGCTCCATCTAAGCCCCGGCGGTAATAGAAGCAGTCTTTCCAGGAATTAGCCTGATCCACTTCCACTCAGCTTTTATTGTTACAAGCTTTAGTTTTCTAAACCGACAGATTGGTTTATGGTGAATAAAGAACCGCAGCTAACAGATGGAGTCATGGAGGCACAGATATAGAGGAGAGGAGAAAACCCCCCAAAGTGTTCTGATATTCAGCAGATCTATTAGGTTGGCCGTGAAAATGTCTGTGCAGATAGAAATGATCATTTATCCGCTGAGATTCAAACAGAATCAATGACCTGTAACACCTGAAGGCAGGTAATGTTTCAGCCTTTAGGTGGGATCTCAGCCGCATGTTAAGTCAGTCCTGATTACTTGGTGCTGATTATCCAAACAGCTGGGGAAGATTCTCAGTCATCCAGGTCATAGTCCTTCCAAAAAAAGAAAATTAAAAACACTCCACTGGACTTTGTGTCCAAGTTTGAAGACGTTTCTCTTCCATCCAGGAAGATTTTTCAATTCAAAATATCAGAAATAGCGTTTAGTTCCAGGTTTTATCCAGCAGCCCAACAAAGCCTGGTTTTAGTTTTGAGAAAATGCAAACTGAAACGGATGAACGGGTCCACTCCTCGGGAATGGGAGACGTTTGG